AAGAGCGGGTCTCTGTCCTAATATTTTATGTAAATCTAGCTTTTGCTTTTGTACTTGGGCATGAATAAATATCAACAACTGCTTCAAAATGAGGAAAAAAGAAACTTCATCCCTCATCAAAAGAAAAGAAAAACCTTTATTTCTATTGCATAAATAATGGTAAAATCTTTTTATACAGATTATATATTTACAGTGGTGTTTGGTTAGAGGAAATGGCCGATACATATGGCATTCGGTTTTCCTTTATACACGCCTTTATACACTAGGGTAACTTGCAATAACATAGGATTTATTTAAGTTGCATGCCAAGTTAATTTATATTAATATTTACAGTGTTTTGTACAAAGTAGTTTTTTTTTTTTTTAAACCATTATGCTGCTGACTTTGTGAGTTGTTTTCTGTAACTGAAATGCCATGACTTCGGTTAAAAAGCTAAAAGTAGTCAATTTTTAACAATGAATGAGAAATGACTTGAAAATGATGAGGGATGAAACAATGACAAAAAGGAGATGCCTATATTAGTGATGAACTTCCTAGAGATGAATGAGGAGGCATTGACTACTAAGATCCTGCTACGGATTATTAAATAGCAACAGGCTGGATTCTGGGCTTCTTCCAGTTTAAATCAATTAACTCTCATGAGTTACTTCTGATTTACTCTGGAAAATGAGAGGAGCTTTAGCTCTCTTCCTCTCCTCCACCCCAGTTAAAATTTGAGAGAACAAGAGCTGCTGAAAGAAGCTGAGATAACTTTGGCTCTTCTGACAGAGGTGATAGGAAATTTAGTAGCATTCTGGAGTTGGCGCAATATGAAAATAGCATTTGTTTAGAGATTACTGTTAGATGGCAATGCTGGGGGCCTGATACTGCAAACGTGAGCAGTATGTTTGGGTTTGGTGGGACTGCTCACAGGAGTGATAAGACACGCCTAAGTGCTGGCAAGACTGGAGGGGATAGCTACTAGGGCTTGCTCACCAACTTCAAAAGGGATGGTCAAATGTTGACATCTTGGCTGATTAAGACAGAAGACTAGCTGATATGGGAAAATTGCGTTACTGATCTCACCTAAAGCATAGTAAAACTAGTGGTGTTTGAAGCCGCTTATTCATGATGCTGGCAAAGACTGACTATGAACTACTGTAGAAAACAATTGGTTGGAAAATGGCAATTTCATTTAGTAATGCTCTTCCAGGCTATGAAGTATTCTGGTCTGTCTTGAAAGAAAATAAAAAACATAAGGAATTTTCATAATCAAACTGTCGAGTACTAATTTTTAGATTCAGAGGATTTCCTTTTTCTCCTTTCTCCCTCTTCTTCTACCTTCTGGAGCTGAAATTCTTTCCTGGTGAAGAATGTCAAATTGAGGCAGTTTTTCAGACTTTTGCCACTGGAGAGGTGAGAATAGAGTACTCTTCCAATTAAAATGTTGTTGTCAAATTTTCTGTCCATCTTGTTCTCAGTGAAGCATCTAAGGATCTTACAGCTGCCTAAAACATCCTACTTGAATTGCAGAAAAACAAGATTTGCTCCAGATAATAACAGACAACATAGAGAGATGAAAATGTTTTGAGCCTTTTCCTGTGTATTAAATTCCTTAGTTCCTGGGAAAGTATATAGGTTTTAAGTGATGCCAGGGAAATGTAATTGTACTGTCCGAATGCACTACAGTAAAATAATAGATGGAAAACCAGCAAGTTCTGTACATCTTCATCTCTGGAATGTAAGCGTGATTCAGAGCCAAGAAAAAAGGTACTTTATCATAATCTTGTATTAGGAAAGTTAGGTTTTCTTCTTTCAAATAGTCATCTATAAAGCAGAAGCTAAATAATTTATTACACGGGTGGATAAAATAGGGAACTTCATTCTTAGTGATCTTAATGTATTCCTCCTACTGCTTCTCTTCTCACAGATCTAAGTCTGACTCGGAACGGTGAACCTTTTGCTTTTGTGCGATGACAGGCCTTCGCAGCTCTGCGCATGCGCACATTACGCATGAGGCTAGAGAGCTTTTCGTGCAATGTCTTTACACCAGGCACCTTGCAAAGGAATGTGTCTTCTCAAGCAGAGCCAGCACTGGACATGGGTGGCCATCACAGTCCTGTGGTGTGTCCCAGGAGATGTTCTGGTCTTCTGGGGCAGGCAGAAACATACGGTTTTTGTGGAAGAATATTCTTATGCTTTACACAGAATAAAGTATATGTCAGTAGGTACTTTGCTCATTGAACTCTGTCACACAAACTTCATCCATCCATCCTTCCTAGCAGCATCCTTGGGAATGCTTTCTACCTTCTTTTTGATTTGACTCCTTGCTATCTAATGTCATATGGGAGAGGACCATCCAAAATGAAAGAGAATTACTTTTTCCTCATCAATTGTATTTTTTATCCTATACGACCTCTTCAAGCTTGAGGACCAAATTCTCCCTAACAGAGGAGAGCATTTCCAGTTGCACGCGCTGCTTGTGGTTTTTAATTCTCCTTTAAATTAGTGCTGATACTGTCTCTGATCTGAAATGTCTCTCCCAGTGGCTGAGTTAAAGTCAGTGAGAGGGTCAGGCCTGAGGCCCTGATGAAGTCCTCAGGTTGTGCAGTCCGTCGTGCGCAGCAGCCTGCTCGCCCAGGGCCACTGCTGGTGCCAGGCAGCTCTCGTCCCGCCAGGGAACTCCTCAGCTGTGGCTTTTTTTTTTGCTGCTGACGTTATTATATGGCTTTGAATGTGGCAGGTACGCAATGCTCCTTCAGCAGTTTTTGCTTTGCCTGGCTGTAATTAGCTTCTCTGTGGTCTCCGATGTATTTTGGACCACCACATGCTTGCAGTTTCCTCACTGGCTTCTCCAGGAGCAGATGCTTTGCACTGCCTGAAAATTAGGATTTACCTTCACAGTTAAAGCCACAAATGGTTATCCTGAGCAGTGCCTCCCCTCAGCGATGCAGACCTGTGCCTTGTATGAGCAATAATCCAAATCTTTCCCATCAAAGATCGAGCGATCCCTCAGCTACAAATCTGCTCACACTGGTTCAAACCAAAGGACCTCAACAAGCCTGGGAGAGGCACTCACCTGTGCCACGCAGTGGCTGACACTGCGTTGATTTAGCTTGCTCCCAAACTAAAGAAAACCCAAACCAAGCCTCTCTCAAACTAAAACAACTATGTCCACTCCAAAGCTTTCCCTGTATCTCATTCTCTTTAATTTCATTTCATACCTTTTTTTTTTTTTTTTGGCCTAAGTCAAGACAGATGTCTTTGGGATACTCAGAATTTGCTAATAATCCGTGAGCTGAAACATTGTCCAAAGCTGTTTAAGAGCTGGTTGTCCAGCCTTGGTTTGGCTGGTGAGCATGTGTTAACTCGCTGCATGTCTCTATGACACTGTGGCACACATGTCACGAACAGTGAGTGTTGCCATAGCAATATCCCTTTCCTACAGAATTGTAGTGCTGAAAAGACACTTAAATTCTCATGTAACTGGCAAAAGCATAAGTTTAGTGCTTTTTCTGACAGCTCTACCTAGCACTGCTGCAGTCTGGGTATTTTTTAAAGTATGAATGTTAATTAGCACTTAAATAGTTTTTTTTTTTTAAGTATGGAATGTGGGGTTTTTTATTTTTATTTCTTTGATTCTTCTACTTTCTTCCCCCTAAGCTTTTGCCATCAGGTTCCAATCAAAATTTTACTGCTCTATTTTTATCTACTGTCTGTTAAAGCAACAAAAAGCCCTTTTTTTCCCTCTTGTGTAGAAGCAAAAAAAAAAAAAAAAAAAGATAAATGGATGTTACATAAATGGAGCCAGGGAGGTAGAGAGGAGACACGGGTCCAATACTGAAAGCTGTTGGCTAGGAAGGGCAGAAAAGTGTTGATAGAAAGCTTACTAGGAGAGGGAATGGCTTGGCCTGATCCCATCTCGCATTGCCGCTAGCTACTGGAAGAGCCTGACTGATTATGAAAAGGAATGTCTTCAAGACAAATTTAAGTAAAGGAAGGCAACTCTAGGAACAGAAGGATGTCCTCTGGCAAGACATGACACTGATTCAAAATGAATACATTGGGTTCCCCCCAGGGGAAACACCAAAAATAAAAAAAAGCCAATAAAACTCCCAATCCTGTACCTGGCAAAATCAGAGGGGAGTTTTTCAATAAACTCTACTGACCTCAGGCTATGGCTTTTACCAATATATTAATTATAGGTTTGATTTGACAAGTGGAGTTTGAAGATGAAGAATTACACTGAAAAGTGACTGTATTTACAAAGCTTTTTATGCAGCATGCATGTAGAAATTGTGGAGGCTTCCAGAAAGCTTAAAGGAATGAAAAAGATTATCTTGTCTGTAAGGTAGCTCTATAATAACTGGAGTCTGGCTGGTTTTAGCTGACAGATGAGTGTGATCTATGAGTATTAGCTTGCGTTTCTGGAGGAAGCAGAGAGCCACCATTCTGCCCTGTGGGGCTGTGACTACCGACTGGGTTGGCAGCATGGTGCCTACCTCTCCGTCGCTCCGTGTCCGTGCTGCTCTGCCCATTGCTGTCGGGCACATGCACTAGCTGGTGCTGGTCCCAGTGCACTCCAGCATAGCTCCAAAGGATGGCTGAGGATTTCCCCGGTTAGCCCCATGGGTCTGCTCCAGCCCTGAGTGAAGCCACTAGGGAGTGCGACAGGTCCCGGATGGCCCCTATGACCCAGTTCAGTGCTCACATCTATACCCAAAGGCTCATTCCTGTCCATGAAGTGGAACAGGATACCAAAACCATCAAAACATCCTGGAGATAACTGCAAAAATCTTAATAAGCATCACTCAGTGGCAAGTAACATGTAGGTTTTCTTCGGCTGATGCCACCTTCTCACATGCTCCTGAAAATGTGGCTGACAGTTCCCTTATAAAGAACTCAAAGTTCCTTGTCTGCAATGTCCAGTACAGCAAGCACTGCAAATATACCTTGGTTCCCTGGTGATGTGAATCAAGCACTCAGAGCTTGCCTAAAATTTCTGTTGTTGGTTTGAAGTCTGCTGCTGCCCTATAGCAAATATAAATCTCTCCATCTTCTGGAATATGTAACAATTTTCGCAGAATATTTTGCAGTTGAACTCTATTAGTCACAGTAGATCAGAAATAAAGATGTATGCGTTTGTATTTGAGGCACAGGGAGAACTTCAAACCAGGCAGAAAAATAACTCAGCTACTCTGGAAAAGACAGCTTTCTTCTTCAACAATGGAGAGTGGGCACCAGAAAAAAGGTAATGTACTGGAGGTAGGCGACTAAAACAAACACACACATAAAGGCAAAATAAGCGGTGACATGAATTTAAAGAGGTCCTGGGAGACAAAACAGCGAGAAGTAGATTTTCAAATCAGGCTCCTAAAAAGCATGAGTTTAATGTTATAGATCAAGCTTGTAAGCAAAGAAAGACCTGAAATGAGTCTTTGGAACAGATCAAGGTTTAAGAAGATGGCTGCCATGTTGGACGAGGGAAGCTTGTGGTTTACAATCCCTTGGGAGCCATTCTGCCCCCTCCAGTGACACAGAAAAGAGTCATCTACACTTACAGGAGCAAGATCTCCCATTCCATGAAATTTCTGGAGCTAACCCAACTGGCAACATGAAGCTACCACAGCTCTTGGGTGTGGGTACCTTTGCGGACCTCCGAGGGAATGCTCCCCATGCTATCTCTGCAGAGCAACTGCCGGAAAGCTTCTCCCAAGACAGCAATGAAAATGGATCTCTCCCATTGGTGACACACAGTTGCACAGTTCATTCACAGGTAAATGTAAGGGTTGTGTTAAACTTAAAAGGAAAACAATTTCAAATGTAATCCTGGCTTCAGGTGCATGCAGTCCTTGGGTTTTCCACGGGACGTGTTGTGGCTCTTGTTTGCATCACTCCATCTTCTCCTTGCTGCTCATTAAACTCTCTTCCAGGAAAAATAACAAACACTTGCAGGATCTGAAAGTCTGACACACTACATAACATATGGTGGTATGCTCTAGTTTGATTCATTCTTTTCTTGCTGCAGGCTGCTTTTCAGCTTACCCTCTTTTGAGCCTATCCATGGGACAGATGAAGAGGCAGTGGTGGTGGAACGGCTCCTGGGAAAGAACTGCTGAGCGGTCAAAACTACACTCCACCACAAAGGCAAAAGCGTAACTTCTCCCATGAGAAGGTGTCTGACATGAAGGCTTCACTGCAGGCTAAAACCAGGGCATATAAAGTTAGATAAATAAAAATTGGGTGGACAAGGAGGAGGGAAAAGCTCGGAAAGAGCTTTCCTTGTGGTTTTTGGTCTCAGATAAGGTTATACAAGACCAATATAAAGAAAGGGCAATACTCTTGGAAAGTAAATGTTGTTGAATATGCAGATGGGATCAAATGCAGGGAGTTTTAACTGGCGCTGGTGGTTGCAGAGTCGGTTGGAAGACTGTGCATAAATCTCAGAAATGCCCATGTGTGAAAGTGGGTGGTGTTTTTAAGCCCTGATTCAAGGTGGAAATAATGGCAAACAAACTCATGCTAGCCAACAGTCTCATGTGTCAAAGGCGGAGTTTATAGACCAAAAATAGAAAATTTGTATGATACTGGCAAGTTCTCTCTTTTTTTTTTAATTTGAAAATACTGTACAAGGATGCTCTAGCTCCCCTCTAATGCCATAAACTCAAAGGCATGGTCATAAGGGAAAAACAAAGTGAAGCTGAAGTACGTGAAATAAAACAAACAGGACTTGCTTGTGGCAATGCTACGATCAACTTCCTGGGAATGCGGGCCCGGTGGAGAGCTACGTGAAATAGTCAGTTGGGCCCTAGGTAAAAAGACAGCCACGCTGAAATAAGTCGTGAGGCTGTGCCTCCTTAAAACTGTAAAACAGATCGCTGGATGAAAGTGTCTTCCAAGTTACCATTGCTGAAGCAGTAATTCGGGACTCCTGTATATTTTTTTTATTGCATTAGGAAACAAAACCTTTAAAGCATTAAGACAGCCCTTTTATGTCCCTGCCAAAAGGATGTAGTAGATTCACAAGACACATTACGCTGCTGGCCTCAGGCTCCTGTCGAATGTTGCTTTATCTGCCTGCCTCTGTCTCTTTCCCTTGTGAGAGTCGGTTCAGGAAAAGCTCACCCGGTGGCATGCGCATGCATGGTCAGTTTGGTTCACAGTGTCATGGTGAGAGGCTATTCCATGCCGCTCCGGAGGATCTGGTTGGCCGCAATCAACATCACGCTTATAATAAAGGCCATGGCAAATGCACAGATAAGGCTCTTCCGTACGCAGGTCTGTCTGTTCTGCTTCTGCGCATGCACTACAGTAGGAAAAAGCAGGAAAAAAGGAAAGATGAGCTACTCGGCCCAAGGAACATTTTTGCTTTCCACCAGTTTCTGCTATATCATCTGAGCTCGGATGTCCTTCCTTTGTCTCAACGTATACCTGGCATATAACCTTCTACTCCATCCCTCAGAGATCCTCCCATGCCCATGCTGACCAAGTCTTACCTTTCCTTGGAGACTATTATGGGGTGAGTACTGGAGGGACACTTCTAAATAATCTACCTTACTTTTTATTACTTCCAAACCAATTTTCCTATTAGATATCCCCCCCCCCCTTCATACTGCAGGAAGTCCTTCCTTGACTTTTCAACCATTCAAATGCTTGCAGATATATAAGAGTTTCAGTTCATCTTTTCAGTTCTTTTGAGTTCTTCATGAAGTTTTCTCTGCAGTTTCTCTGCAGTTATTTAATCAGACATATTGATCTTCTGTGAATCCCCTTAGACTCGTCTAGGCAGTTATGGGTCACCTGGGAATGAGCAGAGATTGACGATGTGCTCTGTGACAACACTTTAAAAAACACTGTGATAGCTCCCATGAGTATGCACAGTGTGTTGATCGTTTTTCTGAACTGTGTTTAGGTTTTCTGTGCCTAGGCAAAATCAGATTCATTAAGAACCTTTTTCAAATGAACACTTGCAGAATAACTGGCAAATCATTGTCAGATGAGAGAGATTCTGAGCACTTAAAATATAGACAAATTGAGATTTTTAGGCTTTGAGGCTGTTTTATTTATTTATTTATTTACAAGGTCAGCAAAGAGTATTCATGCTGTGGCCTGCTCAAGCCAGTTCATGTCTTTGTCTCAGTCTCCCTAACCACAAATATCAGAAAAATATGTGTTATG